TTAAGGGGGCTATTCCGTGTAACATGTGGCTGATGCGGAGGGGCTTGGTGGACTCGCCGCTTTGCCCATCGGGGTGTGCTGTGGAAGAGACTCTGGATCACTGTGTTGCTCAATGCTCCAAACTGAATTGTGTTATGAACACGCTGAGAAGGTGGGGTTTTAACATGCCAAATGTGAGCTCGTTGGGGATGCTTTTAACGGTGCTTGCTGAGGGGATGGTTTCCAATCCTGGCATTGGAAGAATCTACTGCTATGCAGTTTACCAGCTTTGGCGTGCCCGGAACAATATGCGATATGGGCGATCGTATCGTACCCCTTCTGTGATTGCTGCCACGGTTTTATCCTTGCTGCCGCGTACGTTTACTATGCCGATGCTGGAGCAATGGAGCACTATCCAGCCCCTTGGGCTGCCTCCTCACAAACTATGGTGCTCCCCCCCTCCAGGTTGGCTTAAATTCAACATTGACGCTTCTCTGCAGCCGTCCTATAAGGCCGGTTTGGGCATTGTGATCCGGAACTGTGATGGCGCCCTCATTATGGCAGCTGGCCGGGAAGTGGAGCATTGGGATATTTTGCAAGTTGAGCTGCTGGCTGCGGCTGCTATTGGTGAGTTACTTGAGGAGTGGATGTTTGAGGTGGACGGGATTATCATTGAAAGTGACTGTAGCAATGCGGTGCGGTGGATGCAAGGTTTGGGCGATCGGAATTGTGCGGTCCACCGTCGGGTTGAGGGCCCCGACCTCTCCTTTCTTTTGCAGTTCAAGCAAGTCCTCTTCCAACACATTCGTCGTGAAAGTAACCGGCCGGCGGACTTTTGTGCCCACTTGGCTTTGGTGGGTAATTTTTTGTTTAGAAATACGCATGATGTTGATTTCCCCCCGACGCTGTTGTCTTTTTTAAGGGGGGAGAGTGATAGACTGTAGGCTTGTTGGTTTTCTTTATGTTGGTTGTAATAGTTTTCTTTTAGCTTATTAATGCAAATGCACTATTCAGCTCTCTCTCCCCCTCCCTCCCTCTATCTCTCTCTCTCTCTATTCAGCTCTCTCTCTTCCCTTGCCTCTATTGCATCTTTCTACCTCTCTCTCTCAATCTATTTCTTCCTTACTCTCTTTCCTTCCCTCTGTTGCTTCTCTCTCTCTCTCTCTCTCTCTCTCTCCCTCTCCTTCCCACTAATGCTTCTTTCTCTCTCCCTCTCCTTCCCTCTATTGCTTTTCTCTCTCTCGCTATTGCCCTCTCTCTCTACCTCTCCATCCCTCTATTGCTTCTCTCGCTCTCTCTCCCTCTATTGCTCTTTCTCTCTCTCTCTCTATTTCTCTATCTCTCTTTCTCTCTTATTCTAATGCCCTCTCTCTCTTTCTCTCTATCCCCCTCTCCTTTCCTCTATTGCTTCTCTCTCTCTCTCTCTCTCTCTCTCTCTCTCCCTCTAATGCTTCTTTCTCTCTCCCTCTCCTTCCCTCTATTGCTTTTCTCTCTCTCGCTATTGCCCTCTCTCTCTACCTCTCCATCCCTCTATTGCTTCTCTCGCTCTCTCTCCCTCTATTGCTCTTTCTCTCTCTCTCTCTTCTGTCCCTCCCCCCTCCTCCTCACTCTTGGGGAAGCGAATTTCAAAAGGGAAAAATTCGTAGCCGACGCTAATCCGAGCTCTCTCTCTGGGTCGGTGATCTCGATCGCCGTAGTTGGACGTCTTCTTACGTGGGTTATGGTGGGGGTAAGGAGAATAGAGGAAGGAAATGCGACGGGGGGGGGGGGGGGGGGGGAATGCTGTGGGAGTTAAGGATGGAGAAAGTAGTGAAAGGAGGCTTTCATTGTCTGGTTCGGGAGGTCGTGCGGCTAGACCTCCGAGTAGAGCTGAATCTTCTAGATCGGGTGGATCTGATGAAGGTTTAGATGCTGGGAAAGAGTTGGTTCCTTCTACTGAGCTGGAGAGGGAGTCTCTAGCTGGAGATCAGGTGATGGATGCACGGGTGGTGCCATTGCAGGGGTCTTCTGATCGTGAGGATGCGATGGAGATTATTGGGGGATCTGAGGCTGAGGACTTCCTTAATGAAGTTGTGGCTAGTATGGGATCTGCGGATCATTTAGAGGAGATGGATTCGGTTGTTACTGGTGGTTGTACGGTGGATGTTGAACTGACTGGATTGTTGATTATTGAAGAGATTATGCAGGAGGCGACGAATGTTTGTTCTTCTGATGAGAATTTGGTTGCTGGTGACCAAAGAAGTCAAGGCGATATGGCTATGGATTCATAGTTGGCGGGAGAGACGAAAATTGAGCTTGCTGCTACGGAATCTATTGAAGTAAGTAAGGTAGTGGTTAATCCTATCTTTGAACCTGATAAGCCTTTATTTATGTTTGGGCGGATGAGTCGTATTGGAGACCTTGCGAAGGTGGATATGGCTCGAGTTGATAGTATTGTTGGTTTCAATTCGGTACGAAGAAATTGTAGTTTGAATTTCGGTGTTCTGGAGAAGGTACCTGAGGTGAAGGGTGTACAGCCAATTAAGGGTAAATATTGCTGGTCTTGATTGCAATATCAAGCCTAATTCTGCAGGTTGCACTTCAGGTGTTTGTGGGAATTATCAGACTAAAGAGTTTCCTTCAATCCAAGCATGGCAAACTCCGGCTGTTGTTAAGGCAGTTAAGAAAGAATTTGTTGATATGGGAAATGGTAGGAATGCATGGAAGAAATCCCCTGCTGTCAAATTAAATTTGAATGAAGAGGCTGGCAGTTTTTTGCGGGAAGATGGATCAATTAAATTGGATTTGAGTAAAGCTAGGGTGAATATTCAGAAGCTGAGCAGAACATTGGTTGGCAGCCTATTAGGCAGGCGTCTTCCTTTTTGGGTTGTGCAAAATGAATTACAAAGGAAGTGGAGTCATCTTGGTTTGACTCAGATTACGCCATTGGGATCTGACTGCTTTCTCTGTTGGTTTGTAAATATGGAAGCTAGGGACAATGTTCTTATTGGTGGTCCGTGGTATGTTGCTGGTCAGATTATTGGGGTGGAGCAGTGGTCAACAGGGCTTTCATCTAAATCTTTTAGAGTATTTACATCTTCTGTGTGGGTAAGACTTCCAAACTTACCGTTGGAATATTGGGATGAAGCTAATTTGGCTAGGCTGGCTAGGGGCATTGGGGAACCATTATTAATGGATGAGCAAACTAAGCTTTGGAATAGATGTGTGTTTGCACGCATCTGTATTAGACTGGATTTATCTAAGAGATTACCTAAGGGTATTTGGGCTCATGGTTTGGAAGGTATGCTCTTCCAACCAATTGAATATGAAGGCATTCCTCAAATCTGTTTAAGATGTGGAAGGGTTGGCCATAAAGCTGAGTTGTGTAAGGAGGCTTGTGTTCTAACTAAGCAGTATGGCTTAGAAATTGGGGAGTCACAGAAACTGGGAGGTACTGAGGCAGCTGGTTCGGGATTGAAGCTTGACCATGCTTGTAATAGTAAGGGGGGAGTCTCAAACTCTGTAGCTATAGATGTTGATCAAGGGGAATGGACAATTGTTACTAGGAGGAAGAGACCTGTTAATAAATTTGGACAGAGACCTCAATCTGTTAGCAGCAAGCAGACAAATCCTGCTTCTAATTCTGTCTGGAGAGTTGTTGATCAGGTGCAGAAGGATATGCTGCAGAAGGAGACTGGTGGTCAAGAGGTGGGAGAGAAGTTGAAAGATAAGGTACAAAAGGAATCAAGTAGCATGAATTATACTCAATACCAGAATGTTATTGAGGATGGCTCGGTTCAGAAGGAAGCAATTAATATGGAAAGTCCACAAGCTCAGAAGGTTAATATGGAAATGTTGGTTCAGGATAATTCTTGTAGCATGGAACAAATTCATTTTCAGATTGCAACAATGGATGGGTTGGGGGAGGCCATGGCTAGTGCACTGAAAGGAAAGTGTGGTACACGGCAGGAAAACTAAGGTTTCACCTGCTCAAATGCTAGTTCCTAAGGTGCTGAAGTTTTCGGATTCCAAATTAGGAATATTGAAAGGAACAAATAAGATGGCTAGGGGCACTAGAATGCGGCATACTAAGGAAACGACACATATTGGTTCTCTTCAGAAGTTGCCGGGTGTCAGGAGGGATAAGTTGAAGGAGCAAACCATTCCTTCCAGTGAGCATTTTGTTAAGGTAGTTGATAAGTCTGTGGACAGTAAATTTTAGGATATGGAATTTGCTGGACAGTGGCAAGGGGTTTATTCTGAATTTTTTGGCGGTGGGGACGCTTCCCCTTTGGTGGATCATGTTTAACATCCTATGCTGGAACTGTAGAGGTGCTCGTAAGAGGAAGACGGGCAATTACTTACGGCACCTAATTGGGGAGTATGATGTTAGTTTCATTGGTTTGTTGGAGACGAAGATGGAGTCTTTTAGCAGAAAAGAGGTGGATAAAAATGGTAGGTAAAGACTGGGAGTTTTTTTTGAGCCGGCTATTGGTAATGCTGGAGGTATTTTAGTTTTATGGAAAAATGCTGTTATCTCCTTTCATACTTCCTTTAAAACTAATCAGTGTATCATGGGGGAGATCTGTGGAGTTAATGTTTGAGTTTGGAGGAGGCTGTTGTCTATGCTAATAAAGACAGATATATACGGAGTCAAGTTTGGGAAGATATTTCCAAAACTCATAATATGGATGCTCCCTTATTAGTTGGGGGTGATTTCAATTACATTATGTCACAGGAGGATAAGAAGGGTGGAAAAGCTTTTCATTTCTCTGGGGCTTCAGGTGATATGGGGGATTTCATGGCAGCTAATGACTTGGTTGATCCAGGTTTTTCGGGTCCAGCTTACACATGGACAAATAACAAGGATGCGAGGAGTAGGATTTTTTCAAGATTGGATCGTTTTCTTATTAGCTCTTCTATTTTGGATTCTTTCGAAGGTTTATAGGAACGACACCTTACTAGACTTGCTTCTGATCATTGCCCAATTTTATGTTCCTTTCAAAGTGAAGTGAGGAGATCTTATTCTCATTGGATAAAAATTGAAGATGTGTGGGCTAGCTTTCCTAAAGCTTAGCAACTGGTCTGGGATAAATGGAGAGTGGATGATGAGGGAAATGAGGCATGTAAGCTAAATAAGAAGTGTCAAAGAACTTTGAAGGCTCTATTTTTTTGGTGTAAAAACAAAGTTAAAATGTTAAATAAATTGAAGGAGGAGCTTGACAAGGAGATTAAAGAATTGCAGGAATTGGAGTGTTTGCCAAGTGGTTTGATTGTTGTTCAAGAAGAAGCTTTGAAATATAAAGTTCAGTTACTTAACAGTACTTTGGCTCGTTTAATGTTGTGGTGGAAGCAACGAGAAAAAGTTAGATGGATTGAAGAGGGAGATGGGAATACTCGTTTCTTCCATTCTATGGCTTCTGCTAAGAGGAGGACCAATAGTATTAACTCTTTGAAACTTTCTGATGGAAATGTGGTTTCTGAGCAAAGTGAGATTTTGAAGGGGATGCATGAGTTCTTTGAACAGAAATGGAAGGGAAAAGGCATCATTTTTGTGCTAAAAGAGCTATAGAGGATACATTTGTGTGGGATATAGGAGATTGATTTAATTGTAACATTCCTCAATAATTGCTTAAGATTCTTGAGGATGATAGTTGTTTCTTTTCTTTTACTTAGGGTTTCTTATAACCCTCTTTTACTTTTTACAGTTGTAATGGTTTTTTAAGGAATGCATATGCAAAGTTCAGCTCTCTCTCTCTCTCAATCTATTGCTCTAAATCTCTCTCTCTCTCTCTCTCTCTCTCTCTCTCTCTCTCTCCCCCTCTCTCTCTCTCTCTCTCACACACACTCCCTCTCCTTCCCTCTATTGCTTCTCTCTCTCTCTCTCTCTCTCATTCTCTCTCCCTTTCTCTCTCCCTCTATTGCTCTCTCTCTCCCTCCCCTCTATTGCCCTCTCTCTCTCTTCTCCTCTTTCTCTCTCTCTCTCTCTCTCTCTCTCTCTCTCTCTCTCTCTCTCTCCCTCTATTGCTCTCTCCCTCTCTCTCTCTGTCTCTCTCTCCCCCTCCCTCTATTGCCCTCTCTCTCTCCCTCTCTTGCCAACTATTGGCTCTCTCTCTCTCTGTCTCTCTCTTGCTGCTGGAAGAGAGAGATAGTTAATTGTAACTAGTTTTTTGTTTATTATTAATGCAAATGCAGATATTCAGCTCCCTCTCCATCCGTCTTTAAATGCCATATCTCTCTCTCTCCCTCTCTCTCTTTCCACCTGCCCTTTATTGCCCACTCTCTCTCTCTCTCTCTCTCTCTCTCTCTCTCTCTCTCTCTCCCTCTCTCTATCTCTATCTCTCTCTCCCTCTCCCTCTCCCTCCTTTTATTTCCCTCTCTCTCTCTTTCCTTCCGCTCTCTCTCATGCTCATTTGTTCCCTTTTCTTTCTCTCACTAGAGTGTTTTAGAAAGAGAAGCTCTGGGGATGGCTAGAGGGGGTGGCCTTAGGCCACCTCCTCCAAATGGGGGGAACGGTGGTGGTAAGAGCGGGAGTAGGAACGACAGGAAGCAAGGCAACCGGTGGCAGGCGTTGGCCACTGATGATCCCGGCGAGGGGGATCCAGCTTTAGCAGCACAAAGGATGGCACCTCCGTCGAGATCTCCTGAGATTGGCCGGTTCTCGGTCGCTCTCGCCAAAGGAGCAGCCCTACGCGATGTGTGGGAGGAAAAAGGCTTTAGATCTACGGTGGCTGCCAGATCTGGCAAAGAAAACTTTCAAGCACCGGTTAAGGTTGGTTCTCTGCCTGTTTCGGTGGAAACGACCTTGTGTGAGCCGCGCAAGGAGAATACCCAAGGGGTGAGTAAGGCGGCAGATCTCAAAGGTATGTTGGATGCCATTGAGAAGGAACGGGGTATTAAGGTTTCCAAGCCGGCGGCTGTGCGTGAGCTCATTATGAGCTTCATCGGTATCTCCACTCCGACTACTTGTATGTTCGGGGGAGGACCGGCCGAGGCAAGTGAAAAGGGGGAGGCGTGTTGGACGTCCAGCCAGCATCCCATGGAGGATGATGTTAGCCTAAAAGAGTAGGCTCGATTTGATGAGCACCAGGAGATGAACTTGGTTGGGGCTGCTGAGTTCGACCAAGAGGCTTCCCTTGTGAATGATAGGGATGACTCGGGGCGGGATTCTACCGCACCTTCCAGTATAGAAGATGACCAGAAGGAGGACACTGTCCAGCACGCTGCCATGGTCCGGCTTGCCACCAGCTTGGACGAAGCTATGGGATCGGAACGCCCAGGAGATAGGGACTTCCAGGTAAGTCCAGAAATTGTTGCCAGCTCGTGTGGAGCTAGGCTGTCGATGGACATGGATGCTGCCATGGTGGAAACTGATTCTAATAGCAATAGGTGTGAACATCCTATGATTACAGCCATGCCCATGAAAATTGCCAAAACCGCAGCCTACCAAGGTCGTTCCTCCACTGCCATTTGGTCGTCTGCACAGTCCCTTTGCGTGGAACAAGGTTCAGAACGTGCCCCTTGAGAGGATGTCTCGGGATCATTTCGTTACGAAGGATGGGACTACCATCGAACCTGAGCTCAACTCAGTCAAGGACAACATTGCCAAGCTTGACATGGCTATTGTGGCTAAGCTCATGGGAAGGCGCATTTCTTTCCCCTTCATTCTCCAGGAGCTTAAACGGAGATGGTTTCACTTTGGTAAATTTGAGATCATTACTATAGGCCCAAACACGTTCATTTGCATATTCCAGAGTCATGAGGCCAGAGATGCCGTGCTTTCCAGTGGTCCTTGGATCATTGCGGGCAACATTATTGGGATGGACAAGTGGGACTCTACTTGCTCACCAACTCCCTTAATGGACTTCGCTCTCCAATCTGGATCCGCCTGCCTCAGCTCCCTCTCATCTATTGGGACCTTAACAACATCACTCGCATCGCTAACTCGCTCGGTGAGCCTTTATGGATGGATTCACACACAAGCAAGTGGGGACGGTCATCCTTTGCACGCATCTGTGTAAGGATTGACGTCTCTCAAAAGCTACTTCCGGAGTTTGGATCGATGGCATCCATGGCAGATTTTTCCAGCGGGTGGAGTATGAAGGCCTTACAAATTTCTGTTTTGACTGTGGCTCCATTGGCCATGCGAAAGGAAGCTGCATCCCCATTGTAGCTGCTAAGGGACCCTCACCCACGCATGGGCCAGCATCTCAAATCGTCCATGCTCAGCATGGGGGGCTGCCCGTGACCGGGCCATCTTCTAAACTGGGGCAGCAAGCTACGTCCGTCCCCCACGTTTTTGGGGTGCAAGAGGAGGACTGGTTTGGTGATTGGAATCTGGTGACCCATAAGAGGAGAAACAAATCAAGAGCCCCCACCGAGAAGCCATCCAAAGAACATATAAAGGGGGCTGAGCCTCCTCGGTCCCCGCCTCAGATCTCTCATGCTGAATCTCTGCGGATGGAGGAGATTTCCATGAGGATCGTCGAACCAAGCGGAAAAACATCTACAGAACAAAGGGTTACCTTCAGTGTCACAAGACCGGAGAATGATGCCCCCTCCTCAACAGTCAATCTTTCCAAACGACAGCACAAGGCTCCGATGACTTTTTTGGAGAAGCAGCTACTCTAGTTGGGACCCATAGCCACTCTGCCCAGGAAGCGGAGGAAGAATCTACAAGATGATATTGGCGGGGACTTTGTCCCTTTTGAGGAACAATGAGGCCTTACCTTTTTACATGTTTTAGGGTGCTAGGGGTGTTTATACATCTGCCGGAGCAACGGGATATCTCTTAGCCTACAGGCTTTTTCAACCCCTACTTAGGTATCTCCCCCCTCTAGAGTTGTTCCTTAAGCGCTCTTGGGAATTCTAGGACATGTATTTGGGGTTGGCCTCCTTTTGAATCAAAGGGGCTCTTCCTTGTTCCTGCTATTTTCTTTTGGGCTGTCATTTTTGTATGGACGCTTACTTTTATATGTTCAGGTCTTCCCCCTTTTGTTTTTTGTCTTGGGAAGACATAGGCTTACAGTTCCATAGTGTCATTGTACTTTTAACTTTTTAAGGAATGCAATATGCAATATTCAGCTCTCTTTCCTTCCATCTATTTCTTCTCTCTCTCTCTCTCTCTTTCTCTCCCTCTCTCACCCTATCTCTCTCTATCACTCTCTCTCTATCTCTCTTTTTCTCCCTTACCTACCCTCTATTGCATCTCTCTCTCTCCCTCCCTCTCCTTCTATCTATTGCTTCTCTCTCTCTCTCTCTCTCTCTCTCTCTCTCTCCCTCTCCTTCCCTCTATTGCCTCTCTGTCTCTCTCTCTCCCTCTCCTTCCCTCTATTGCCTCTCTCTCTCTCTCTCTATCCCCCCTCTTTCTCCCTCTCGCTTTCCCTCTCACTCCCTCTCTCTCTTTCTATCTCTCTCTCTCTCACTCACCCTCTCTCTCACCCTCTCTCTCTCCCTCTCTCCTGGCTCTCATTTGTTCCCTTTTCTTTCTCTCACTAGAGTGTTTTAGAGAGAGAGGCTCTGGGATGGCTAGAGGGGGTGGCCTTGGGTCACCTCCTCCAAATTGGGGGTTTGATGGAGGAAGAGGCGGCGGCAAGAAGGAGAGGAAGAATGGTAACCGGTGGCTTGTGCTGGCCGATGAGGAAGGCGGTGGTGGTGAGCCCACGACGTCCAAGGGTAAGGCGCGTTTCTCGTCCAAGTCGGCTACCTTGGCGAAGGGAGCTGCTCCCCTTGGTATTAGGGAGGCTAAAGAGCCTAAGCCCTTTGTCTCGACTAGGTCGGGCAAGGAGAACACCCAAAGCCCGAGTAAGGCTGTTGGTCTCAAAGACAAGGCGGCTGCTACGGAAGAGCTGCACGTTACGAAGTTCACTAAGCCCGACTGGATGTTCTCACCTGGAATCGCTTCGCTAAGTGCCAAACCAGCTGCGGTTCGGGAGCTGATAATGAATACTATCGGCATGTCCCCGCCAAGGACTAGTGCTCCGGTTCTGCCTAAGGCAGCCAACCGCAGCAGCTCCGAGCTGGGCTCCCTCGTGACAACATCTAGAATATGGAGCACGAAAGAATGGAGAGTGCAGGATCTGAGCGGGGGACCTCGACTGCTTCCGATCGGGAGGATGGTGAGGCTAGCGATATGGAGGAATCAAGGGAGGCCTCAGGCTCTCACACGTACATGGATGCTGATCTGGACGGCCGAGCAGAGCTCCAGCTACAGGCCTTAGCGGATGCTGTTTGCCCGGCTGTGCGTGATGCCCCCTCCTGGGCGGATTTTACCGAGATGCAGGATAGCCCTCGGCCGGTCGAAAATGGTGTGGATTTAGGTCTCATTGCAGGAGCTGCTATGGGAATTGCTGATAGAACTAGGTGTGATCCTCCCCTAGATACAAGTGTCTCTCATCTGACTAACCCAGCTTCATGCCCATCCACTGTTTGTAGTAATGCCGCTGCTGATCTGGCTGCTGCTATCCCTCAGGCTCAACCCATCATGGCAAAGGTGTTGCCAATGGGTGGTTCGCCTTCTAGTCCCTTCACCTGGAACAAGTTGCAACTTGTTCCTTTGTAGATTGAGCAAAG